TCGATATAGTTCAAAGATTTTTTTTTTTTAAACATCGTCTATTTTTGCTTATGTGTTAAACTTTTGAAACAATCCACACTTGCATTGGAAATAGGGATACTCTTAGGGCCTGTTTGATACCTCCTTTTTTCGTAGAAAATGGAAAACATTTTCTATTTCCAACCAAAAATACATGTTTGATGGCAAAAAATTTCCATGGAATTGGTTTTTTTGGAAAACCCCATTTATGCACCATTTTCCAACTTTAAACATCGTCTATTTTTGCTTATGTGTTAAACTTTTGAAACAATCCACACTTGCATTGGAAATAGGGATACTCTTAGGGCCTGTTTGATACCTCCTTTTTTCGTAGAAAATGGAAAACATTTTCTATTTCCACCCAAAAATACATGTTTGATGGCAAAAAATTTCCATGGAATTGGTTTTTTTGGAAAACCCCATTTATGCACCATTTTCCAACTTTTTAAGGAAAATGTTTTCGATTTTCCTATGGGTTTTGTGGTTTTTCATTTTACAGCTTTATTATTTTTTATTTTTTTTGGCAATTAAAACAAATTCATCCCCAATTGTAACAAATTTTATCCTTTTAATTGATAATTTTCATGATAACAAAATCAAACTGATACTACCAAAAATCGTACCTGAGCAATTTCGAGCTGGACGACTAGTGGCGAGTACAAACGTGTTCTTCCGGTACTTGAAACAAAGGTGTCGAGGTGTGTCCTCGTCGCCCCTCTGATGCTTAGTTAGAATATGTGCGTGAGGCTATGGACTGAAAATTGTATTAAAAGAGTACTTGAATGATGAGGTGAAACCATGTATTTATAGTGTTAGGTGGTTGAATCCTATTAGATTTGAACAATTGGAGAATCTTCATCCCGTAGAATCCTATCGGAGGTGGATGTTTGTCATGCATAACAAGTGTGGGATCAGTACAAGTCTAACAACAATAAACTCCTCTAGCATCTAGAAGTCTTGTGGTGTATCAAGTGTTCACGTCACTGTTCGTAGGAGGATTTGGTATCGTTGAGGTAAAAAAGCATGAGGACATGAATACCGAGGACTCCACTTCCCGACCTCATGGTATGATTAAGAGAGAAGTCGAGGATATTTTCCATATCCTCGGGAATACCCGACGAATATATTTTTGAAGACTGAGTTGGGGGAGTCATCGGGAATAAGAGGTCGAGGTAAATGGATGGACCATATCAGGTAAATAGGTGGACCATATCACTGGCTCCCGTGCATCCATGCTCGAGGTTCGAGTGTGGGATGCACAGGTGAAAATAGCCCACGTGCAAAGAAACCCGAGGTCCAGTTCAGAGATGACATTAGCCCTAAAGTGAAAGGCGGTTTAACTTTGGTTGCCTCGATGAGTGACACGTGTCCAGATCCAACAGTCCAAGCCGGACGACCCTTGGGTTTCCCACTGGAGTTTATAAATACCCCAGTCATTTTCCATTTCTTACCATTTTACTTCTCTGTGAATTTTTTCAGAATCCTCAAGCTTGGGCATTTTGTGGGTTTTGGGTCGTCGATGTCTAGTGAGTCTACCTCGTCGTCATCCTCTGGGTTGAGGACAACCCCAGAGAGTTTAGGTAGGTCGATAATCCCTGTAGCCATCCCTATTTATGCACAACCTCGAGCAGAAGATAACTCGACGCTTTTAACATATCCTGACCAACCCTGTACCCTTAAGGAGCACCTGGCCATATCAACGGCTAGAGAACATGGCATAATGCCGAGCTGTGACATTCGAGTGCCCGGGGTAGGGGATAGGATGGCTATAGCTCGGGATGGGGAGTTTGTGATTTTCAGGGATTCTTTGAAAGGGAGATTTAGGTGGCCCTTGCATCCGTTTTTTATGTCTTTATTAGTCGAGCATAACATGAGCCCGGGGCAATTAGTGCCAAATGGGTGGAGGATGCTCGCCTATTTCTTCATCGCCTGTAGATACCTGGGCATTACACCATATCTCGACCTATGAAGAATGGTCTTCGACCTTAAACAGTTGCCCCAGTATACATGCTTTGCCTTCCTTTCTACCCGGGGAGGTTTTAGAATCCCGAAGATGCCCAGCTCCTTAAAAGGGTGGAAGGAGAAATGGTTCTACGTGATTCCTCAAGATATCGACCTTCCATTCAAATCTCGATGGGGTTTTCCAGATACGTCGAGGTTTTGTGAGGGTCAGGCATACTTTGAGAGTCTAGAGAGGGACAGGCAGATGTTAGAAAATCTCGAGCCTCTGGTGTTTGATATGGACGACATCCTCGGGGATGACGTTCTCGATCGTGCAGACATTAAAGGCGTCGAGGGTAGGACATGTACCTTTTTTCTTAATTTTTTGCTTATTTATATTCTCGTTTCTAATACATCGTTGATGTTTTGCAGCAATGACTTTCAATCCCACTGCTTTGCGACAGTCCGTGCAGTCTAAGTCGAGGGCTCCTCAAATCCGAACTCCGGGGTAGAAAAGGGAAAAAAAGAGGCCTCGAGCGTCTGGGGCAGAGCAACAAAAAAGAAGCGGGGCAGGAGAGTCCTCGAGGCACAGAAGCACGTCGCCTGGAGGCAACACTCCTCGATCTCTTCCGCCTCCTCGGGAGCACACGGTAGTGGATCTCGACGAGGATAACGTGCCCCCGGGTACTGAAAACGTCGAGAATACAGGACAATCGTACTTGATGTTGGGCCTTGTCGACAAATACCGACAAAGGCTCGGGTATGAAGAGGCCGGTAAGGACCTCGAGTCACTTATATTCCAGGTGAACTATGATTATAAAATTTTATAGTCTTTTTATATCGAGGTCATAGCTCATGGTGAATGTGTTTGCAGGCTTTGAGTATAGCTCGAGGTGACTTGCTCAGGGGAATGGACGATTTCCGGAAGGTGATCGAGCTCCAGGAGGCAGTGGAAGCTCGAGACAAGAGAGTAACTGACCTCGAGGCTGAGCGCGATCTTGCGAAGACCGAGCTTCGAAAGGCTCGTGATGAAATAGGCCTCGTGAAAGACGAGGCAGAAGAATTGAAGATAGAGCTCGAGAAGGTGAAGAAAACCCTCGAGGTCAGGGTGGCAAAAGCTCGGGCTGAAGCTGTTGAGGAATTCCAGAAGTCCGAGGACTTCAATAAGCTGGAGGGCGACTATGCAATGGGCTCATATTTCCATGGCCTTAAGGAGGCTCGAGCATTTCTTCGGTCGAAGCCTGATGCTAAGCCTGAGGAGCTAAAGGCAATCCCGGAGATTGCTGGAGACCTTGAACTTTCGGAGTCAGAAGAGGGTACCCTCGACGATGAAGGGGTCGACCTTGATGATGACCTCAAGGATGATCAGGAGAGCCCCGGGGTCTAGATGTAATTTGTCTTTACTCGAGCAACATTTGTAAAACGTTTTTTGTCGCCAGCTAAATTTGGCAGTTTTTTTGTTTGTAAGCACTATTAATACAATCTGCATGTTCGATATTATTTGGCCTGAGCTTTTACTTGAGCTGATCTCTGCTGTTTCTCGATTATATTATGCTCGACGAATATCCTGGATAATATCGACGATCTTATAACGATCTTATATTAGTTATGCTCGACGATCTTATAACGACGATCTTATATTATTTATGCTCGACGATTTAAATATTAGATGTTTACGCCTTTTATTATTGACGATCATGATTTACAAACATTTATGGCGACGATATAAATAGATTACGCCTTATACCAACGACTATGCCTTCGAATATTAATATCGATGGCATGCCGATAAGTTTTGAGGAAACTCAATGTAGTCCTCGTGTTTTTCCAATTTTTACTGTATCAAGGATTATTCACCTTGCCTAAAGGCAATGCTTTTACTTGTCAAGGGCAAGGTCTATACTGCTTGTCGAGGACAAGACTTAGAGTGCTTGCTCGAGGGCAAGGCTTATATTGCTTGTCGAGGACAAGGCTTAGAGTGCTTGCTCGAGTGCAAGGCTTATATTGCTTGTCGAGGACAAGGCTTAGAGTGCTTGCTCGAGGGCAAGGCTTGTATTTCTTGTCGAGGACAAGTCTTAGAGTGCTTGCTCGAGGGCAAGGCTTAGAGTGCTTGCTCGAGGGCAATGCTTATATTGCTTGTCGAGGACAAGGCTTGGATTGCTTGCTCAAGGGTAAGGCTTATATTGCTTGTCGAGGACAAGGCTTAGAGCGCTTGCTCGAGGGCAAGGCTTGTATTGCTTGTCGAGGACAAGTCTTAGAGGGCTTGCTCGAGGGCAAGGCTTATATTGCTTGTCGAGGACAAGGCTTGGAATGCTTGCTCGAGGGCAAGGCTTATATTGCTTGTCGAGGACAAGGCTTAGAGTGCTTGCTCGAGGGCAAGGCTTGTATTGCTTGTCGAGGACAAGTCTTAGAGTGCTTTCTTGAGGGCAAGGCTTAGAGTGCTTGCTCGAGGGCAAGGGTTATATTGCTTGTCAAGGACAAGGCTTATATTGCTTGTCGAGGACAAGGCTTAGAGTGCTTGCTCGAGGGCAAGGCTTGTATTGCTTGTCGAGGACAAGTCTTAGAGTGCTTGTTCGAGGGCAAGGCTTATATTGCTTGTCGAGGACAAGGCTTGGAGTGCTTGCTCGAGGGCAAGGCTTATATTGCTTGTCGAGGACAAGGCTTGGAGTGCTTGCTCGAGGGCAAGACTTATATTGCTTGTCGAGGACAAGACTTAGAGTGCTTGCTCGAGGGCAAGGCTTATATTGCTCGTCGAGGACAAGGCTTAGGTAATTCCTGGATGCAAAGTAAACGACAGGATTGTTATACCCGAGGCTTGAATTTTTTAATTCTTCGGACTGGACTTGGATTTATATTGTATCCAAGCTGCCTACGTACCCAAAAGGGATCAAGCCGAACATAGTTCATTACAAAAGAGAATTGAAAACATGCATGGACACGCAGGCCCGCCAAACTAGAAATAAAATGCAAGGGCACGTAGGCCCGAAGAACCAAAAATAATATTCAGAAGAAAGAAAATCTCCTATAAGACGTCGAGAATGTTACTTGTAATATATTTTCAGATTATCGGCATTCCAAGGCCTTGGAAGAGGTCTACCCGAGGTATCCTTTAGGCTGTAAGACCCTCTTCTAATTTGCCGTATGACTTCGAATGGTCCTTCCCAAATTGGCCCGAGCTTTCCGGGAGCATGACTAGCAGCTTCGGCCTTCCTCAGCCCGAGGTCTCCAGCCCTGAACTTCCGAGATCTGACCCGGTTATTAAAATGCCTTGCCACTCTGCTTTGGTAAGAGGCTACTCTCAGTGTTGCTTGTTCGTGAACCTCCTCAAGGAGGTCCAAATGTTCTGTCGTACGTTCCAGAGAGTCGGGCATCATTCTTCTTAGGCTGGGAAAACTGATTTCAACTGGGATGGTGGCCTCAATGCCAAATGCTAGCATGAAAGGGGTTTCACCCGTCGTAGTTTTATGCGAAGTTTTGTACGTCCAGAGTAATGAGGGGAGCTCGTCGGACAAATAACCTTTGGCATCCCCGAGTCTTGTCCGGAGGTCTTGCAATATAATCCGATTTGTGACCTCGGCTAGACCATTGCTCTAAGGGCGTGAAACTGATGTGAGTCGATGGTCAATCCCTAGGTTGGTGCAAAAACTTCTGAATTGTGCATTATCAAATTGTCGTCCATTATCAGTTATGAGGACCTTTGGTATCCCGAACCTACAAACAATAGATTTCCATACAAAAGCTCTAAGTTTAGGCTCCGAAATTGTTGCCAAAGGTTTTGCTTCTGCCCACTTCGTGAAGTATTCTACTGCCACTGCCACGAATTTTAATTGTCCTCTTGCCACCGGAAAAGGCCCGAGGATATCAATTCCCCACTGTTCAAAAGGGGCCGAACATGTTAGGGTTGTGAGGTCCTCAGCTGGAGAATGGATGACGTTGGCAAACCTCTGGCATTTGTCACATTTTCTGACATATTCCGATGCATCTTTCTTCATGGTGGGCCAGTAGTACCCATACCTTATAAGCTTGAAGGCCAAGGCCCGAGCTCCTTGGTGATTCCCACATACACCTTCATGAACTTCAGCTAGAGCTCGGGATGATTCTGAGGGTTTAAGGCATCTGAGATATGGAAGTGTGCAACTTCTTCGGAATAGTACTCCTCCAATCATGCAGTACCTAGATGCTCGAGATCTTATACTCCTCGACAATCGGGGGTCCTCAGGTAGATTTCCATTATTTATGAACTCTGCAATTGGGCCCATCCATGATGGCTCATGATCAATGTCCATGACTCCAACTCCCTGAGTGATACTAGGCTCCATTACCAATTTCACGTAGACTGTCCTCTCTAGCCCATCGATTCCCATGAATACCAGTCTAGATAATGCATCAGCTTTATCGTTATCAGCCCGCGGAATTTTTATGATTTCGCAACTTTTGAATTGTTGCTGGAGATCATGGACTTTTAGACAATACAAACTCATCTTCTCCTCCTTCCTTTTGAACGTACCTTCTATCTGGCCGACCACAAGCTGAGAATCGCTGAAAATTTTAATATGCTCCAGCTCAAGATTTCGGGCGAGCTCAAGGGCGATAATGACGGCCTCATATTCGGCCTCGTTGTTGGTAGCTTCAAACTCAAACCTGAGTGAGCATTGAATATCCACGAGTTTGTCAGGGCTTGTGATGATAACCCCGGCTCCGGAACCTGACGAATTGGATGCTCCATCAACAAAGATGTTCCAAGTGTCTGAAGTATGATTGCCCGAGTTATCCCCTGGCCCCCGAGGCCTTGGGGTGAGTTCTGCAATAAAGTCAACCAAGGCCTGCGTCTTGATAGATGGTAGGGATTTATACTCGATGTCAAATTCTCCCAGTTCAATTGCCCACTTTAGTAACCTACCGAAAACGTCGATATACTTAAGGGGTTGATTAGTGAGCACAACTATGGGATGAGACTGAAAATATTGTCTGAGCTTCCGTGCTGCCACAACCAATGCAAGAGCAAGCTGTTCTGCCAAAGTATATCTTGTCTCTGCATCGAGCAAGACCTTACTGACGTAGTATATGGGTTGCTGGGCTTTGTTAACTTCTTTCACTAGCACACCGCTTACTGCATTCTGGGATACGGCCAAGTATAAATATAGAGTATCACCATGCTCGGGTTTAGTGAGAATAGGAGGAGATGCCAGCGTTTCCTTAAGTTTGTGAAAAGCCCTTTCACATTCCTCATCCCATTCAAAATTTCGGTTTCCTCTGAGGACTTTGAAGAAGGGGAAGCATTTGTCGGCTGCTCGGGACATAAACCTGTTGAGGGCTGCAACACGGCCTGTTAATTTCTGGACCTCCTTCTTGGTTTTAGGTGGCTCCATTGATGCCAACGCCCGTATTTTGTCTGGGTTGGCTTCGATTCCCCTGTGAGTGATCATAAAACCCAAGAACTTTCCCGAGGCAACGCCAAATGCACATTTTTTCGAATTCAGCTTCATTCTGTACTTACGCAGCGTGGCGAACACCTCCTCGAGATCACTTACATGGTTGCCCACTTGCTTGCTCTTTACAACCATGTCATCGACGTAGGCCTCAATATTTCTCCCGATCATTCCTGCAAAAACTTTATTGACAAGTCTTTGATATGTTGCTCCTGCATTCTTCAAACCAAACGGCATGACCTTATAGCAGTATATGGCAGAATCGGCCATGAATGACGTCTTCTCTTGATCTTCCTTGGCCATAAGAATTTGATGGTAACCCGAGAATGCATCCAAAAAGCTGTATAATTTGTGTCTCGACGTACTATCCACCAAATCGTCGATTCGAGGTAGGGGGTAGCTGTCTTTTGGGCATGCTTTATTGAGGTCTGTAAAATCAATGCAAACTCTCCATTTACCACAAGCCTTTTTTACCAGGACGACATTGGCGAGCCAGTCAGGATAATTGACCTCGTGGATGAACTGAGCCCTGATCAGTTTATTAATTTCTTCCTTTATGACCTGTCGTCGTTCCGGTGCAAACTGCCTCTTTCTTTGCTTAATTGGATGAGTTCCGGGCTTAGTGTTGAGCCTGTGTACTACAACCTTGGGGTCGATGCAAAGCATATCTTCCACCTTCCATGCGAAGACATCAATGTTGAGGGATAAGCAGTCAATAAGTTCGGTCATGAGGGCCGTATTCAGATCTCGACCAACCGTTACTTTCTTCCCTTGCTCTAGCTCTATCTCCAACAACTCCTCCACTGGAGCGAGTCTCCCCCTATTCTCGAGCTCTTCCTCCTTTTCTGAGATTTGCATGACGTCCGTCTTTATTTCCCGAACACAAGTAACATAACATTGTCTGGCAGCAGCTTGGTTTCCGCGTACCACCCCGACGCCATGACTGGTGGGGAACTTCATGGCAAGGTGGAAGGTGGACACAATAGCTTTTACCTTATTGAGCAATGGTCTACCCAGGATGGCGTTGTATGCCTTGGAAGACCGGACAATCTGAAAAGATGTAATCACCGTTATCTGTTCTTTACCCGAGCCTAAGGTAAGTGAAAGCTCGACCACTCCCTCCGGAACAATAATACCCCTCCCCCCGAATCCTTGAAGGGGGGTTTTCACTGTCTTCAGTTGTTCGGGAGAGATTCCCATTTTTGTGAAGGCTTCATGTGACAATATGTTAGCGGCACTCCCGTTGTCGATTAAGATCCTCTTTACCTCAAAGTTTGCTACTATTGCAGAGATGACTGGGGCGTCATCATGAGGAAAATACACGCCCTCAAGATCCTTCATACCAAATTTTATGTCCTCGAGGTCACCATGATGTGCTTTCGGGGTTGTCATGTATTGCCGGGCATACTGCTTCCTCCCAGTGTTCGAATCTCCTCCTGATGCAATAACCCCGACAATGATGTTGATGATTCCAGCAGTGGGTTGACCATCCCTTTTTGCTTCAGAGCCTCTTTCCCTACCACCATCATTCTTCGGGCGTTTGTCATTACCAACGTAGGAACCCAGAAGTCCCCTTTTAATAAGGGCTTCAATCTCCCGTTGCAGGGCTTTACAGTTTTCAGTGGTATGCCCGTGATCCTGATGAAACTCACAATATTTGCTCATGTCCCTGGACTGGGGGGGTGACCTCATTCTCGCAGGCCATTTGAGCTCCTTCATATCCTTGATTTCCATCAAAAATATTTGTTTTCGATGTATTTAAACGCGTGAATGACGTCGGGGGAGCCTCCTGTCTCTGTTTACTCCGAGGTGGTTCTTGACGGGGGCTCGGGTCATGCTGTCTTTTATGCTCGACCCTGTCGTGGGATGGTCCAACCTTCCTCGGGTTCAATGTTTCTTCCATATTTATGTACTTCTCTCCTCGGGTAAGAAGCTCGATCACTGTCCTCGGCGGAGTTTTGGATAGCGACATTTTGAAAGCCTCACACCTTATGGCATAAGTGAGGGCAGAAACCGTTGCCGTTATATGAAGGTCGGGAATTTGTAGCCTTTCCTTGTTGAACCTGATCATGAACTCACGTAGGGTCTCATTTTGCCCCTGTCGAAGTTGCATGAGGGAGGCTGCCATTTTCCTGATGCGTTTACTGCTTGCGAAGAAGGCGGAGAACTTGTCTGCTAAATTCGAGAGCGAGGCTATTGAGTTGGGCTCTAAAGTCGAGAACCAATCCCTAGCAGCATTCGTCAAAGTTTGCGAGAAGGCCTTGCACATCACCTGATCCGGTGCGACCTGTAGATTCATGACGTCCATATATACGTTAAGATGATTGATTGGATCGGTGGTCCCGTCATATTCTTTGATCCTGGGATACTTAAATCTGTCTGGCAAGGGGAATGTCAATATTTCGGGAGTAAAGGGAGTGTTAGGACTGAATCTTGTTGACCCTTTGTTGCCCTGAAGTAGGCCCGCCGTAATTCCTTCTTGAATAATCCTAGCGAGTTCCCCGGACTCCATGGTCACTGATCTCGAGGCCAAGGTCACATGCGGTATGCCCGAGGCCCCTACTCTGCCATTATCAGGGACATGTCTCTGAGCTCGAGCTCGAGCATCGACCATGAAACCCCCCTGGGGTGCTGGTGTGGGTGACGGATGCGAATTTCTTTGACTTAGCAGCTGAGTTAGTGTGGCGACCTGTTGTCTGAGCTCTTCAAAGGCTCCAGCAGTGACGACTGCCGGCTGGGGCTCTGGCACTTCTAATGATTCCTCTTGAGGAACAGGGATATCCTCAGGAGGGGTTTGGTTTGGAGCGGATGAGCTTGCTGGTGGAAGACCTAAACGTGTGTTTACCATGGCTTTTGGTAGCGATTCCCACAGACGGCGCCAATGATGCTACCAAAAATCGTACCTGAGCAATTCCGAGTTGGACGACTGGTGGCAAGTACGAACGTGTTTTTCCGGTACCTGAAACAAAGGCATCGAGGTGTGTCCTCGTCGCCCCTCCGATACTTAAGTTAGAATATGTGCGTGAGGCTATGGACTAAAAATTGTATAAAAAGAGTACCTGAATGATGAGGTGAAACCATGTATTTATAGTGTTAGGTGGTTGAATCCTATTAGGTTTGAACAATTGGGGAATCTTCATCCCGTAGAATCCTATCGGAGGTGGATATTTGTCATGCATAACAAGTGTGGGATCAGTACAAGTCTAACAACAATAAACTCCTCTTGCATCTAGAAGTCTTGTGGTGTATCAAGTGTTACACGTCACTGTTCGTAGGAGGATGTGGTATCATTGAGGTAAAAAAGCATGAGGGCATGAATACCGAGGACTCCACTTCCCGACCTCATGGTATGATTAAGAGAGAAGTCGAGGATATTTTCCATATCCTCGGGAATACCCGACGAATATATTTTTGAAGACTGAGTTGGGGGAGTCATCGGGAATAAGAGGTCGAGGTAAATGGATGTACCATATCAAGTAAATAGGTGGACCATATCACAAACGAATATCAAAAGATCCAAAATTTGAATACTTTCTAGATGAAAAATTATACAAATCAAACACATTTAATTGATAATTCTCAATAAGATAAATTCTAGACAATTCAATTATCTGAAATTCATTTTTTTCACTCAAATTTCATTCTTGCAATCAAACGGAACCTTAGATCCATTTATTTCATATTTCATGTATTTTGCTTTCTAAATTTTGAAAAAAAGAAAAAGAAAAAAGAAAGAGAGATCGAGAGAGAGAGGGACAGACAAACCCTTCCATTTAAGATGGGGAATCATTATCTTGTATTTTAGGAATGTGATTCTTATTCTAGGCAAACTACCCCATTATAGAAATTTAAAAAAAAAAATGATGTATCTCGGGCCCAATGTACCCAACTTCCCACTGAATCCTCGTTTTAATAACCGGCCCAATAAATTCATTTCCCTCCTCCAAACCCCCAACCGACCCACGCACCCCAACCCACGCCAATATCCCTTCAAAATCCGCGCAAACACGCGCACACGGACTCACTAGTCGCAGTCTCCTCTCTAAAACTGTAGAGTGAAGCCATTGTAAGGTTCAGCCATAAGCCATGGAACAAAAACCCATGGAGCCATGGGTCGACGACATAGCCGACGATTTACAAAGCATGAGCTTCAACTCCACCACCACAACCACCGCCACTGACATCCACCGCTCCACCAGTTCTGGCTCTGAAACCACCACTTGGACCTCCTCCTCCGCCCACCACTTCTACCCTCCCTCTACCGCTGTCAAACCTCACTCCTCCACCACTCCATCCGGCGACCCCTGCTGGGACTCCATCCGCCGCTTCGAATGCCTATCCCTCTCCGATCTTCGCTTTCTCCACCGCCTTGGCTCCGGCGATATCGGATCCGTCTACTTAGCCAAACTCAAGACAACGTCCTCGGAAGAGCAGCCTAAATCCTCCCCGGCCGCTCTCTTCGCGGCTAAGGTTATGGATAAGAAGGAACTCGCGAGCCGTAATAAAGAAGGTAGAGCGAGGACAGAAAAGGAAATTCTCGAAATGCTCGACCATCCATTTTTGCCCACGCTTTACGCCTCCATTGACTCTCCGAAATGGTCGTGCCTCTTGACGGAGTTTTGCCCCGGCGGTGACCTCCACGTCCTCCGCCAGGCTCAGCCGTGTAAACGCTTCCCGGAATCCTCCGTCAGGTACGCATTTTACCCGTTTGTATTAATACATTTTTTACGTAATCGAGTTATTATATTCACCCTTGCACTTGCATGCACAAACTATTGACCATTTCTGGAGATTTATGATGCCATTCATCATATGCTCTAATCACATTTAAAAGTGAATCAATATTCATAAAATTTTTTATGGTTAAAAAAAATAACCTCAAGTTTTTTGGATTTTGGATATGATGGTTAAAAATTGGGGAGATTGGCCCACCACCCGGAGGAGAGCTGGGGGTGGGGCCCAAGCTATTTCGTCATTGTCTTCTCTGTTCAGAACTGAAATATACTGTAGACGGAGATACACTGTAGCACTGCTCATCTGTGTGTGAGGGTGAAAACTGAAAAGTTATAATTCAAAAGGACGAAAAAGCTATTGATTCATCAGTGATGAGAAATCATGATCACACGTGATCCAGTCCACGTGAACCCCACGAGTTTTTAATTCCCGGAACTACTTTTGTTGACTACTCAATTCATCTCTAGTGACCAATAGGTTGTCAGGTACGTTGGGACCCAGACTAAGCACGTATTTGATCGAGATTTTCCGAGAATAAATTTTGTGAAAAAATAACTTTTTGGAGGACGTGCGGTTAAAATTAAGAAAAATTTATGAATCTATTTATAAAATTATTTTAATGAGAGAATGTGTGCATTGTGCACTTGTGCTCAGGTCGAGGTTACTATTTGATCCTAAGACAGATGGGTAACTCTTATTGATTTTTGGAATCCGCCAAGATGGTTTACTCCTGCTTCTAGTAAAGAACAATGAGAGTTTCAAACCTCATGGATTTTGTGAAGCGAAGAGTTAAATTTTAGAATATGTCATGGTTGAAAATGAATACAAAGGAAAATGAGTTTTTGACAATCTGTGTCAAACTGGGACTAAGTCTGCGTGTGGAATTTACGAGACTCGACATTGCCTTACAGGGCGAGGTCTTCGAAGACTAAGAAAAATTTACACCGTCGTGTAGGCCCCCCAGACCTGATTTCAAGGGACATTGTTGGTTATAGATGAGATTTGTGGAGGATATTTGTGGTTGGAATATTATTGTAGTTGACTTTATTAAGGTTGTAATAGTAGAAGTAGTTCATGTGATTAAGGATGCAACTATATCACGTGGTCCGTGAATTATTAAAGGGTGTCTAGTCCCCTTTAAAAATCGACTGTAAATATGGAATTTTCTAATTTGTCCCATTCATTTGTGATCCTTAAAAGGAGGGCAAAATCAACGGAATGTGCTCCGTTAACTTTTGCTGTATTTAGGGGGATTCCGTTCAAAGCACCTCTTGGAATTTATGCTGGCCACCAATGTTTAGATAATTATAATGGGGCCCCTGATTGATTATTTGTTTGACAATTAAGTCCACGTGAAGCTAGGGAGGTACCGACAATGTAGCTATGTCAAGAAGAGGTATAGCTTCCATCTGGTCTGGAATGAAGTTAACTGATTTGGAAGAGAGATAGGCTAACTTATTCGACAAACTTGTAGCCACAATTATGTACTCGTGAAAACCCAATTCTCATCAGAATAGATCTGATTGGTAGATTCAGTATGAATATATCACGTGAAGCTAGGGAGGTACCGACAATGTAGCTATGTCAAGAAGAGGTATAGCTTCCATCTGGTCTGGAATGAAGTTAACTGATTTGGAAGAGAGATAGGCTAACTTATTCGACAAACTTATAGCCACAATTATGTACTCGTGAAAACCCAATTCTCATCAGAATAGATCTGATTGGTAGATTCAGTATGAATATAT